GCTAGCTCTGAGGCTGCTAGCTCTGAGGCTGCTAGCTCTGAGGCTGCTAGCTCTGAGGCTGCTAGGTCTGAGGCCGCTAGCTCTGAGGCTGCTAGCTCTGAGGCCACCAGCTCTGAGGCTGCTAGCTCTGAGGCTGCTAGCTCTGAGGCCACCAGCTCTGAGGCTGCTAGCTCTGAGGCTGCTAGCTCTGAGGCCACCAGCTCTGAGTGTGTGTTTGTGTGAATAAACAAATGTGTGATGAGTATTGCAACAGCTCACCAATAATGATGACGTCATCAGTCATCACAGCGTGCACCACTTCTCCTGGTCACCATCTTCATCAACTTCCAAGCCATCACCACCCCCGCCATGCAGCACTGCACATTGTTCTTCATAATTAATCAGGGAATTATATTCACAAAATTATGTATATTAATTTGTTCTTATGTATTAATACCTCATAACAATTCTCTGAAATTCACATTTTTCATTCAACTTTCATTATTTTTTTAGGCTGTTGCTAGTTTCTAAAACATATATCAATCCATGCAATAAATTACACAATTTAAACATAGTTTTTATGAAATTAAAGTGCTGAAAAAGGAACTTCTGCTGAAAATTCAGTTCACTAATTACTATTAGAAAGGCAATGCAAGCAATCTATTGTAGCTTATTAATAGAAAAAATGTATTTTTATATTATTGTCTATATTGACAATAATTATTAATTATAATATTGACATTTCACTAATTACTATTAGAAAGGCAATGCAAGCAATCTATTGTAGCTTATTAATAGAAAAAATGTATTTTTATATTATTGTCTATATTGACAATAATTATTAATTATAATATTGACATTTCACTAATTACTATTAGAAAGGCAATGCAAGCAATCTATTGTAGCTTATTAATAGAAAAAATGTATTTTTATATTATTGTCTATATTGACAATAATTATTAATTATAATATTGACATTTCACTAATTACTATTAGAAAAGCAATTCAAGCAATCTTTAGTAGCTGATTTATAGAAGAAATGTATTTTATATCATTGAATATTATTGTTTATATTGACAATGAGTTTTTGACTTAGTTCATGCACTACTGGACAGGTAGCACCCCTGGCTTGATGAAATATTCACATGATAAAATATTTATAAACTTTGGACCAATATTACACTCTAGGGCCGATCTTAACTCAGCTGACCACTTTTGATGTGAGAACTTTGTATATATATGCAAAATAGTAAAAATTTCCATGTCAACTGGCTTGAAGTTTATCATGTAGGTGGTGTAGCATTTAAATTCATGAGCTGAAATCATACAATAGCCAATGACAACCATGATAATCATGATAATCCATAATTCACCTCATAATCCACAAGCTACCAGTGCCGGAGTGGCTCCCTGGGAAGCCATGTTGGGTTCTGAAGTCCCGTGGATAGCAAAACTCAAATCGTGACAGCACAGCTGGAAAAAAGTGTACATTACCACAAGTTATATTTACTGACTTGACATAAACTTGGTAAATGTTTGAACATGACAACATGGGATAGGATAGAAATTTATGCTAGGTTACAAGATATAATCAATCTAAACTAAATCTAAACTAGGCATTTAAGAAACTACTGATAAAATATGTATAAATTTGAGGTCTGCTGTGAAAGATGGAGACCGTAGAGCGGTGAAGTTTGTTGTCTGGATGTCTAAAAGCTTGAAAGGAATTCCAGCTTAACTTAACTATTTGAGAAGAATCTACTGTGATGGATGGTGCTTGATTCATGGATATATTTTCATGATTAAATCTGTAAATTAAGAGCCTAGCAAATGATCAAAAAAGATAAGCTGTAGAGATTCTTCTGAGCTGCACAATGTGATTACTGTATGTGAGCTATTTGGATATAATTTTTGTAATCTTTGCACCTGCCAGGCATTTGACTCTAAACTGCAAGATGAAGCATTTATCACCATAGTTTATTAGTTTGCTATCTATACATCATTGATCATCATTATTAATAAATATAATGCAATTAATAAAAATAAGTACCAAGGACACCCCATCTGAATGCTTTTTCTTGAAAATAACTTGACCAAAGAATCCAAACTTGCAGAAAAACTCGTCATCTGCAGAGCCGTCTGTGGCGGATGGTATAGCTAGGGCTTGCTATATAATGGAATAAACTTAGGTTCTATAAGTCGGCGATGGTTTAGAATGCTTTATTTACACATGACGGACAATGAAGTATACACAGGCATATGAATGACGAGACACAGATTGAATGTGATATGGACGCTTGCTAGTGATTGACTGACATAAATGAGAAGAATGGACTAACATTACTTACTAACTACAAGTTACAGAGTGATCCCGTATGTTACGGTCGGGCTTACGTTAGTTTCCCCGACACCGTCCTCATGCTGCTTACGTCGTCATTCATGCTTACACAAACCTCTTTAAGTGTTACAGAAACATTACTGAGAGATAAAAAAACTTACAAGTAACATATGCAATTGTAAAAGCAAGTAAGGCACCACAATAAGAGATAGGTAGATCAGCTCCCAATAGATAGATGGTAGAAAGCATTAAGAAAAAGGTGACTCATTCAACACCTTTCAAAGAAATATTCCAATAAAATCTAAACCACTAAAAACTATTAAGTTACAAGGCAAGAAGAGTGCAGCACAGATGTGTGATATACATATACACTGGTATAAATAATTGGTGTTTTAGAGCTCTGTGTAATTTGATGATGCAAATGTCAAACTAATAAACCAAGCCATGAATACAACTCAGTTGTTAAACCATTTGCTAAGTCATCAATCATCATTGTTATGACTCAATTCCATAGTTGATCATAAAAATAACAAATTACTAATTATTTTCTATAATTTATAAGAAAATTTACACCCAGTTTTCTTTGTTCTTGCCATGAAGGCTCCTAGTTCAAATTGATTCCATATAATAATGCAAGTGATGCAACTATTAAATTAAATGACCATCATGAAACTTGTGCTGCCATCTTTATTTCCTGAAAAAACTGGTTTTCACAGTATTAAAAATAAAATGCTAAATTAAAAATACTTCTATAATGTTAAGAATTATACAGCTACAAGACTCAAGAATTCTCACTCAAACAGAATATATAAATGACTTTGGAGCCACAGAATTTCATTATACTATCCAAGTTTTGATTTTAAATAGGAACAAGAAAAAATAAAATGAAAACACAAATGTGCCCAAGGCACAAACAAAGATCTTTTCCCAAAAAATTGAACAAAAGACAAGGCTTATTGAGCCAAAACTGCCCAAGCCCACAGCCTATTAATCCATGCCTCAGTCCCATCATCATTTAAACTGTGACAAACCACAGATTTTTTAGAATCAGTTCAATTTTAATTTCCTCATCTACTCAAGATTTAAACCAATTTCTTACATTTGATAATGCTGGTTTTCATGATACTTTACTGGGTTACTTATAGGACTCATCAATGAACTTAAAGAAGAGTCTTAAAAACTCTCTGCTTTGCCACTATCACTGCCCTGGTGTTGTGGGGCCAGTGCCCCACCGCCCAGGTGTTGTGGGGCCAGTACACCACTGCCCAGGTGTTGTGGGGCCAGTTCCTCTGTGTGCTCTAGTTCTGTAGTCTATTCAGCCTCTTTATGCTTTCCTCTCACTCACCACACGCCAGCTAATTTTCCATCTGCCTGTATGTCCTCTTCAATAATTAGGCATTAATTATTACTTTAATCAAGCTGCTAATTACCTACAGATTTAATCAACCTGCTAATTAATTACAGCTGGCGGAGGCGCAGCGGGAGGACGAGTTTCGGGAGCACCTGCTGCAGCAGCAGCGGCGCCAGCAACTGCGGCAACAACGACAACAACAGAAGACGGGACAGGAAGACAGCAGCGCTGTCCATCCCAAGTTCCTGGACAAAATAGACAGACTTGTTGGGGGACGGCAGACGGGCAAACAGGCCGCCAAGAGCATCGTCGTCGACAACGACAGAACCTTTGGATTTGGTCAGTAGCCCGCCATCTTGTTTACCGTAGCCATCTTGTTTACAGTATCCCGCCATCTTGTTTACAGTAGCCATCTTGTTTACAGTATCCCGCCATCTTCTTTACACAAATTCTTGTTGTTAAGAATCATTGAAAATATTAAAGCGAAAATAATTTCGACGTCTTAACAGTAAAATTTTTTCACTGATAATATAGTTTATTTTCTCTGTTTTTGAATTCTTGTTGAATGACTAAAGACTTGAACGTCAGTATGAAGTGTAAGCCTCGATTTTGGAGAGGGTGAGGGTTTACTTGTTGTTAATTATTGAAAAAAAAATTCTATGAGATATTGTTTATCTTTTCGGCTCCGTACGTTTAATAGCAGGCGCTTAGATTTACTTCAATTATAATGGATCCGGGCTCTAGTCCCGCTGCATTACGTCTGATCCATCTCACTGTCTAATCCACCTCACTGTCTAATCCATCTCACTGTCTAATCCATCTCACTGTCTAATCAGTAGTAATCCACCTCACTGTCTAATCCATCTCACTGTCTAATCCATCTCACTGTCTAATCTATCAAAGGTCGATTAAGTTCGAAGTAGCAGTTCACATGAACCACCGTTCATTAGGCCTGAAAATGATGGTCCAGTAGGGCCTTCCCTCTATAAATAATAGCAGTAATTACCATTATAAATGGCGGCAGTAATTACCATGTGTTATTTAATGACAGTTCGCAGTGAGCTAAAGAAAGACAAAAGGACCATCGAGCAAACCTTGGCTGATATCAGAGCTAAGAAGATGAAGCGAGAACACGATTCGGCCATCGCGACATCTGGCAACCCTGCATTGACATCTGGCAGTCATACACAGACATCTGGCAACCTTGCACAGACATCTGGCAACCCTGCACAGACATCTGGTAGAAATGCACTGACATCTGGCAACCTTGCACAGACATCTGGCAAAACTGCACAGACATCTGGCAGCCATGCACAGACATCTGGCAGCCATGCACATACATCTGGCAACCATGCACAAATTTCTGGCAATCTAGCTCGTACATCAGGCAGCCCAGCATCGATGAGTCATAATGCTATTCGTACGGGCAGTAATAGCTTGAACGAGGCGCATGTACTAAGCAGTTGTAGGAAAGACAGTAGTAATCATCAATGAGTTAATTTAATAGCGTTGTATTGTTGTGTACAAACTTTTTAATTTATTACTTAACGATTAACTGCCCAATTAGTTTAACTTTGTCCTAGGAATAGCATTATTAAATCGATTGACGAGTAAAATTTAGCTGTTAATTTGTACGAAAGTTGAGCCCTACGGTCAAAAATAGTTCGTATGACAGGTTTGAGTAACGCATACGAATTAATTATAGATTAGGTAGGAATAGCACTAGCGCGCTGGTGAGCTGAGGTGATGGGTGGTGATTGGTGGCGAGCTAAATATTTAATATATATAACTGAATTAATTGGATAACAAAATTAATTGGATAAATGAAATGAAATTTTTAGTTACCTGAATCCATCATTTGACAATTGTATTCAACTTTCAGTCAATAAATTATTAAAATTAGTTCAATGAATCTAATATAGATCAGTAGGTTTAGCAAGTCATCACATAGGCTTTGTCTTCGTGACGAGATGTTCACGAATAAAAGATTCATGAATAATTGCAAAAAGGAACCATTTTTCATTTACGGTACCGACTCTGGGAGTGTTTTACTGAATCAATTTGATAACTGAATTCGTTGGATAACTGAATCAATTTGATAAATGAATTAATTGGTTAAGTAAATTAATTGGTTACCCATTTTTAATTCGCTATGCACTGCGTGATGCACTTCATATTCACCAAGTTTATATGGTTCATTAGTCGCCCTCTTACAGGTGAACTCTACGGGGTTTATCTCGGAACTATTCACAATAAATACGACGTTGTTCTCATATTATTATTATATGTTATTATTGCGATGTTGTAACATAACAATAACGTGCTCTCAAGTGTCATGCACGGTACAGGATTAAATTATTTTCAGTTCAGTTGTAAGTTATTACACTAGTTGCCCCTGGCGCGACTGTTACCATTTGAGGATACTGAAGTTACTGAACAAAATAAGTATTGTTTCTTTTATCCTTATTGCTGTTCTTCATGTACGGCAACTTGAATGTTGTGTAACAAAATAGTTATACTGGTTACCCGTCAAAGTATTAGACCGTTTATTAGTATTATTACCAATCAAGTTCATCTGATAACAAGACTGGTAACCTGTCAGGGTATTAGTTAATTCTTTAGTATTATTACCTGTCAAGGTTACATAATGACAAGACTGGTAACCTGTCAAGGTATTGGTCAATTCATAAGTATTATTACCTGTCAAGTTCACCTGATAACAAGACTAGTAACCTGTCAAGGTATTAGTTAATTCATTAGTATTATTACCTGTCAACGTTACATAATGACAATACTGGTAAGCTGTCAAGGTATTTGTCAATTTATTAGTATTGTCAGCTGTCAAGGTTACCTGATAACGATACTGTTATCTGTCATCGGCTTCACTTCATTACACGTCAGAAGCTTGCGATCCCAGTTGGCTACTGATCAAGTTTGATAATAATAAGTAATACATTCTGCAGCTGGAAGATCTAACACCAGCACTGCTAACTAAGTTAGGATGAGATAAAATTCACATTTACTTAAGCTTGACAATCTCTACAACCGCTTCCTAGCAAGTTTGCATCAATATATCAAATTATATAGAAGTTGGGTATCATTGGTATATTAAGAGGAGGCGTTTGGTGGTAGGTTTAATATTGAAATTAAAGAGGTAGATGCTACAGCTGTGGACCAGACTGGCATGTAAGGCTACTGAAACCACCTGGGCACAGCTTAGGAAGATATATTATGGAACACTGGGACCAGCTTACCAACAACAAATCGCAGACACCTGCAGTTGGTGCGGCATGAAATGGGGGATAGTTGGGGTATGATGGTATGGAAGCAGCAAGTCACACTAGTGGGTGTAGTTTGCTCTTTGAAACACAGCAGAAATCACATGAAATCACCTGGGCCCTCAGCCCTTGTTGCAACTAGCTAATCGCAAGTCCTAATCACTAAAACAAAAGGACCGGTTGACCAAGGTCACTCACTCCGGCTGATATCACACTAGTTACAAATGATGAAAACACGGGTCAGGCAATAAAATTAATACCTAATTATTATCTAAAATTGATTCATTTTACTACAACGTCACAATAAAAACATATCTGCACTGGCACAATAAACCTGGACAATGGAAAAATCAGTTACTATAAGAAATCCCGCTCTGGGGTGCACTGGGGAACCATATAAATGGAAAGCACTCCTAAGACTGGCAAAAGTGTCCACCCAGTGGGCCAGCAAGTCACTTCTCTGTGTGCTCCACTAAGGTTGAGGCAGGTTACTCAAAGGAATCACTGTTTCCTCAGTGCTCGTCAACATCCCACTACAAGGAGCAATCCAACTTCACTTGCTGCACTGGAGTCGTGGTGCAGGGTGCCCTTGGATTCAGTTTAATTCCCAGGTTTTTCTAGACTCAACTCTTGATGCCCTATAAGTGAACAGAATGCGGGAATTGGCGTTAGTGCGCGACATGAGAGCAAGTGACAGATGTAAAACTATATAACATATTAAAATATAACACAATTAATGCATTGACACACGTGACAAGATTTTAAAATGCAACATAAATGGGTGGATATATAAAAGATTGGGATCATTAAAACCAGGTTCAGGCCAGCGCCACTAGTCACCCATAAGGGGCAAAAGCAGGCAGGCAATCAGTGAGCAGCAGGACCAGGCAAGGCACGTAGCATCAAATGTCTGGTAAACTTGCATCTGCACGAAAATAACGGTGACAATAACAGCAAAACTTGCCAAGCATCACAAGTGATAAGATAAATAGGTATCTTATATAAAAAATTTATTTCCAATAGGTATGCATATAAGATAAATATTTCCTATATGAAATGAGCAGTAAGTTGGAATGATGATTTCAATATAAAATACAATCAAATGCTGAACATGAAAATTAATGTTCAAGTATTAGCAAAAACCAATACAATTATTTTCAACTAGCGTATTGCTGGTCTGTATTATGAAGTTCCAGGGTAGCTCTGAAGCAACTAGCTCTGAGGCTGCTAGCTCTGAGGCTGCTAGCTCTGAAGCAACTAGCTCTGAGGCTCTAGCTCTGAGGCTGCTAGCTCTGAGGCCACTAACTCTGAGGCCGCTAGCTCTGAGGCTGAGAATTGGCTCTAGTTCTTATTCAAGAGAACAATTTGTGTCCCACGGCTTCACCTTCATTTTTGTCATTAAACAAATGTGTGATGAGAGTTGCAACAGCTCACCAATAATGATGACATCATCACAGCGTGCACCACTTCTCCAGGTCACCAGGTCACCATCTTCATCAACTTCCAAGCCATCACCACCACCCCGCCATGCAGCACTGCACATTGTTCTTCATAATTAATCAGGGAATTATATTCACAAAATTATGTATATTAATTTGTTCTTATGTATTAATACCTCATAACAATTCTCTGAAATTCCCATTTTTCATTCAACTTTCATTATTTTTTTAGGCTGTTGCTAGTTTCTAAAACATATATCAATCCATGCAATAAATTACACAATTTAAACATAGTTTTTATAAAATTAAAGTGTTGAAAAAAGAACTTCTGCTGAAAATTCAGTTCACTAATTACTATTAGAAAGGCAATTCAAGCAATCACTGGTAGCTTATTTCTAGAAGAAATATATTTTATATCATTGAATATTATTGTTAATATTGACAATGAGTTTTTGACTTAGTTCATACACTACTGGACAGGTAGCACCACTGGCTTGATGAAATGTTCACGTGACAAAATATTTATAAACTTAGGACCAATATTACACTCTAGAGCTAATCTTAACTCAGCTGACCACTTTTGATGTGAGAACAATGTATATATATGCAAAATAGTAGAAATTTCCAAGTCAACTGGCTTGAAGTTTATCATGTAGGTGGTGTAGCATTTAAATTCATGAGCTGAAATCATACAATAGCCAATGACAACCATGATAATCATGATAATCCATAATTCACCTCATAATCCACAAGCTACCAGTGCCGGAGTGGCTCCCTGGGAAGCCATGTTGGGTTCTGAAGTCCCGTGGATAGCAAAACTCAAAGCGTGACAGCACAGCTGGAAAAAAGTATACATTACCACAACTTATATTTACTGACTTGACATAAACTTGGTAAATGTTTGAACATGACAACATGGGATAGGATAGAAATTCATGCTAGGTTACAAGATATAATCAATCTAAACTAAATCTAAACTAGGCATTTAAGAAACTACTGATAAAATATGTATAAATTTGAGGTCTGCTGTGAAAGATGGAGACCATAGAGCGGTGAAGTTTGTTGTCTGGATGTCTAAAAGCTTGAAAGGAATTCCAGCTTAACTATTTGAGAAGAACCTACTGTGATGGATGGTCCTTGATTCATGGATATATTTTCATGATTGAATCTGTAAATTAAGAGCCTAGCAAATGATCAAAAAAGATAAGCTGTACAGATTCTTCTGAGCTGCACAATGTGATTATGTGCGCTATTTGGATATAATTTTTTGTAATCTTTGCACCTGCCAGGCATTTGACTCTAAACTGCAAGATGAAGCATTTATCACCATAGTTTATTAGTTTGCTATCTATACATCATTGATCATCATTATTAATAAATATAATGCAATTAATAAAAATAAGTACCAAGGACACCCCATCTGAATGCTTTTTCTTGAAAATAACTTGACCAAAGAATCCAAACTTGCAGAAAAACTCGTCATCTGCAGAGCCGTCTGTGGCGGATGGTATAGCTAGGGCTTGCTATATAATGGAATAAACTTAGGTTCTATAAGTCGGCGATGGTTTAGAATGCTTTATTTACACATGACGGACAATGAAGTATACACAGGCATATGAATGACGAGACACAGATTGAATGTGATATGGACGCTTGCTAGTGATTGACTGACATAAATGAGAAGAATGGACTAACATTACTTACTAACTACAAGTTACAGAGTGATCCCGTATGTTACGGTCGGGCTTACGTTAGTTTCCCCGACACCGTCCTCATGCTGCTTACGTCGTCATTCATGCTTACACAAACCTCTTTAAGTGTTACAGAAACATTACTGAGAGATAAAAAAACTTACAAGTAACATATGCAATTGTAAAAGCAAGTAAGGCACCACAATAAGAGAGCGGTAGATCAGCTCCCAATAGATAGATGGTAGGAAGCAATAAGAAAAAGGTGACTCATTCAACACCTTTCAAAGAAATATTCCAATAAAATCTAAACCACTAAAAACTATTAAGTTACAAGGCAAGAAGAGTGCAACACAGATGTGTGATATACATATACACTGGTATAAATAATTGGTGTTTTAGAGCTCTGTGTAATTTGATGATGCAAATGTCAAACTAATAAACCAAGGCATGAATACAACACAGTTGTTGTACCATTTGCTAAGTCATCAATCATCAATGTTATGACTCAATTCCATAGTTGATCATAAAAATAACAAATTACTTATTATTTTCTATAATTTATAAGAAAATTTACATCCAATTTTCTTTGTTCTTGCCATGAAGGCTCCTAGTTCAAATTAATTCCATATATAAATGCAAGTGATGCAACTATTAAATTAAATGACCATCATGAAACATGTGCTGCCATTTTTATTTCCTGAAAAAACTGGTTTTCACAGTATTAAAAATAAAATGCTAAATTAAAAATACTTCTATAATGTTAAGAATTATACAGCTACAAGACTCAAGAATTCTCACTCAAACAGTATATATAAATGACTTTGGAGCCACAGAATTTCATTATACTCACCTACCGTAAAATGGGGTAACTTTTACCACTTGTTTTTTTTTTCAAAATGAAGCCATTTTTTTACTAGATAAGTTAAACTTAAATTGAAACATGCAAATTACAGGTCTATACTCTAGCTTCACTCACCATAAATTGCTGGCTCCTACCTCTCATAGTTTTGATGTCATGACAGACTTGACAGTTTCACCTGCTTCTGTGGCCACCACAGCATGGTTCTTGCCCGATTTATTTAATAAAAATACAGGAAAACCTCACTTTCTTGCCTGCAATTTTCATATATAACCCTTGATATGGGTGGCCCAGGCCCCAGTGGGAAAAGTTCAGAGTACAAGTAGTCGAGTACCAAGATTGGAGGAGAGAGCCCAGAGAGGTGCTGGTTTGACTTTGATCCCAGGTTCCCTGCTCTGTGCGCCAGTTTCTGGTCAGAATTGGCAAGCAGAACGGGCGGTTAAACAAAGAAAATTTGAAGCAGTGAGCTGCAAGTTCAAGCCTGGCTGTCAGCAACAAGCTGTGGATGTTCTGTAATGTTAAGAATCGGCAACAGGCCTACAGCCTAATTAATAAATGCTGAAACATGAAAGCACTATATAGTCAGATGGGGTAAGACAGGATCAAAATCACTAACAAGCCTGTAGCATCTGTACCATGAATAACTAAAAAACCCTAAACCTATCACAAGGTGTAGTTATGCAATACGCCTCTAAGCTACAACTCAGACATTTTGCATCTAACATAGTTTTCTGTACAGATTAAAAAAAGTGAGCTGGTCCCATCTTACTCCATTGGGGTAAGATGGGACCAGGCTGGGGTAAGAAAGGACCAACTGGTAATTTTATGTTACAAGGTTTTTAATAAAAGTACAAATCTGATATTCAATATTATCCATCTAGAAACTCATTATTTGATTAAACAACCACTTGTTACTGTTATGTGTGGTGGGAAGTCAACTCTAATATCAGTCACATTGAAGTTTTTGTCACGAGAAAACTTTGTTAAGCATAGTAATGGGTTGGCTTTGGTGCATTGTAGAGCACTGCTAAATGCTTCATGTATATTCCAATATTAATAATTCCATTAGTGTAATTACTTGAAAAATTTATCAAATTGGTAATAAAACCAATGGATAATAACTTAAGTGTCAGACTTCATTGTTTTCTTGCTAACTGCATTTGTGGTGTACTTCTTCAAACATAGCTCATGCCCTCTCACAGAGTTGTGATCATAATTATTTTTCATGTTTCACGCAGTGATTTTTTCACCAGCCAATCTTGCACACAGTTCTGCAGCTCACTAATGGGAATAGACATCCCAATTTTATATATCCCTTTGATGCAATTTAAAATAGTGCACTAAATTTCTCTAATTAAAAAAGCTAACAAGTTATAATGAAGTTTGAGCATAAGATAAAAATTTTGACCAAAATACTCCATGTACTACACGATAATACTGTTAAGTCTGGTATCCATGATACTTTACTGGTCTACTTATAGGACTCAAAAATGAACTTGAGGGAGAGTCTAAAAAAGTCTCTGCTTTGCCACTATGATAATACACGATAATATATTCATTTAAAACTATTTTTGATAAACTGTAGGGTAATAGAGGACCATTTGTGGGGTAAGACAGGAAAATTTGTGGAGTAAGACAGGAAAATTTGTGGGGTTAGATAGGACCACTTGTGTGGTAAAACAGGATCATTTAGTGGTCCCGTCTTACCCAATGTCCGGTCCTTTTTTACCCCATTTTAGAATACATGTCATGATGTCAGGCAGTGATGGTAGTAGGTAGGAATGCCTAGTATGTCTAAAAAGTTGCCTATTATTTGAGGTTACCTGCCTACATCCACAAAACTGGCCAAAACATTTTTTGCCATTAGACAGAGCTTATTTTCCAAACAGGGTTAACTATTTTGTGACCCTTCTTTACATAGGTTTTCTTTGAAAATTAGCCAGAAATTCATTATTTGCAGAAGAGGGTTGAAACAAGCACTGAAATGACAGGCAATGATTGCTCTAACATATTCTTTTGTCAAATTTAATTCAATGCAATTAGAATGCATGCCATGGGCTGGTCCTTTCTTACCCCATGAAAGGCATGAAGCTGATGATGAAGGGGCTTGAAGGCTGCGATCCTGTCTTACCCCATTTGACTATATTATATTATATATGTAATTGCTTTCACGAGCATTTTTTTCTCAAATTCATCCCATTATTCCTAATTGGTAGGCCCTTAAAAAAGGCCTTATGAAGTTATGAGTTGCCATTTTCTCAATTTCTCTGTTACGGTGTAACCTAAGATCTGTGTAGAAAACTTTGTGGAACAGGCAGCTTCTGCATTCTGCAAATACTTAGCAGTTGAAGACTTGAAGTTAGTGTCAAACCAGAGATTTTTTAGAATCAGTTAGGTTTTTAGAACTATGGTATATCTCACAATATTCAATATTGGCTTAGCAGAGAATTCTTTTCTTAATTGAACTGGTAAAGTGGTAAAGCCTATGGCAAGTTGCTGATTATCATTAGGTATCTGAGATTCATTCATTTTGTCAGATGTTTCTTGAGCAATACAACTTTGATAATACAATACCTAGAACTTTGATCATCACTCAATGACACTCATTGCTTCAGAATGTATGCCAATTCTGCTCAGAAATTGATAATTCAACAAATCCTGCACAATTATTAATAGTAATCTTTCTCTTGTCACAAGTCACAACACAGCATCAGCATGACAGCAGGTGGCAGTTGGTTACACTTACAGTTACAGGCATATAAGTTTGTACTTTGTCTTATCACATTTCAGGATTTGAAATGTGAATAATTGAGACCTTCCGCCTTGCTGGCGAGTGGCGATGTTTCTTTTGACCTCCGGCTCCGGGTCCGGTGCAAAATAGCTGAAGCGCTACGAAACTATTCTGCTACTATGTACTACTACCCCAACCTTCACACCGTAATAACGTTGTTATAGCCGCAATAAACATTTTTTAAGACGTTCTCTAAATATTTTCAGGGTAAACTCATTCCAAAAATTCTCCAATTAATAACCAACCCGAACCGTTGCCTTGCTGATAAAAAATTACAGCTCGATTCTGAATGAATAGCATGACTTTATGTTACGAACATAGACATGTTAATCAGTAAAATTATTTCGAAAATGTTCAGGCAGCTGATTGACCTCGAACATGTTCACTGTTCAGGCATATACTTGACCTTACGCATGTTCAGGCAGCTGGTGAACCTCGCACATGTTTGTATTGATATGATTTATTGACGATACTTTATTGTACTATAACAATCAGGT